TCAGAATTCCCCAGCCAGCGAATGCTGGCTGGGGAATTCTGAGAGATGAAGTCCAGACGTCTTCAAGAGGCCAAGGTTGAGAAACACTGCCCTAAATAATATTCCAGGCAGGTGGCTGTCTAGTCTCCTCTGAACATCCTCCAGGGACGGAGCACCCTTAAAAGTATTGGAAGCCTGCGTTCTCATGCCAGCCCTGGTCCTTCTCTCACGTGGGCCCGGCATTCCCAGTCCTCCCACCCGTTCTTCACGTGTTTTAGGCCGGAGCAAAGCTTCCAGCGGTCACCTGTAGCCCTTTTCCTCCTCAATGGGGTTTCCGTGCAGGGTGAGGCTGCGCAGGTGAGGCAAGACGGCCAGCTTGTCCACTTCGGAGAGGCTCTGGATGCTGTTGCCATGGAGGTTCAGGTTCCGGAGGTTGTAGTAGGTGGTCAGCACCTGCAGGGAACGGGGAGAATGGCCCCGGTTTTACTTTTACGGCTCGGTTGCTCCTCGTTGGCTTTTCTGAGCTCCCGTGGCCGGGTTGGGCCTTCCAGGTTGGCTCCCCAGGCGGGTGGTGTTTATGACGGTCATAAACCGGTCCTGGGCATCCGGCCTCTCTCTCTCTGCTCCCCCCCCCTCCCCATCTCTGGGTTGATGCCTCTGCAGTGACATTTCATTGAATGGAATACAGAAGGTCCTCGACTTACGACCACAATCGAGTTTATCTTCAGTGAGAATTTGTTAAGTGAGTTTCGCCCTGTTTTACGCCATTTCTTACCACGGTTGTTAAGTGAATCAATGCAGTCGATAAGGTAAGTAGCACGGTTGTTAAGTGAGTCCGGCTTCCCCACTGATTTTGCTTTGTCACAAGGGGATCACGTGACCCTGGGATACGGCAATTGTCCTAAATACGAGTCAGTTGCCCAGCGGTGGAATTTTATTATTTTTTTTGTTCTCTAGGTAGTTGTTATTGTTGTTATTATTATTAATAACATTTTTTTATACTTTATTCATTAAACATGAAGCTCAGCCAACTGAACATTC